TAAAAGTTCTCATCTGCAACGTGTCAAACACACGTCCATCACATCAGGACAGAAGCACAGACTTAGCACCACTTCGCCATGGATGAGCATTTTGTTATACTGAGTTTAAAAGCAAAACCCAGTACTCCAAAACTCTCAAGAAAGTACTCCAAGTATGGCTGGAAGCTTTAGTTAGATGAATCCTAGCAAATAAATTCAAACAGAACCACAAAACAAGGCAAGAGACAATACCTTTATAGCATGCGAGTGTAAGTGCACTTTCTTTGAACTCGTTGGAGTGAGTGTTGATTCCTGCACCGTACTCCAGCAATACTCTGGCAACCTCCACATGCCCTGCACTGGCTGCTTCCATCAGGGGGGTGTGTCCATTCTCATTGTGGTCTTCTATGTTAGCACCAGCTTTCAGTAGCACCTTCACTATGTCCACAAAGCCCCCGGCACAGGCGTACGTGAGAGCCGTGTTCCCTGCAGAGAAGGACTTTGCATGAGAGCCCCTTCCACCACATCAGCATTTAAAACTCTGGTTAAATCCTGTCTTAATATTAACACAATCCAGCTGCAGGTTAATGCTCTCAGCAAGGTTAGTTAAGCTGTGATCAAGCACCAGCAATGTAGAGACCATTCAATGCTCGAAGAATTGTAACCCCTCTTTGGTAAAAAGCACCATGCAGAAATAACTGGTCTGGATTGGATGTGTCTTACTGGGTCATTTTGGATTGTATCAATGAGAAAAGCTAAATTTCATGTATTTTTCTGGTTATCTAACACCACAGTGGTTTTCACTGCTTTCCATTAGAGTTTATGTTAAAAACCATCTTTAATAATGGCCAGTTAAGACCCTAAACATGTCTGCTGTGGATCTGGCCTATTCTTAAGTTTCTGTCACGTTTTCTTGTGAATGAAAGTGTCAGACAAAAACAGGGCTTAAGACAGCAGTCTTACTAACTGCCCAGTTACCTGTGGAGGACTGTGCATTGACATCTGCACAGTGGACAAGGAGGAGTTTAACAATATCCACGTAGCCCCCGCTGGCAGCTGCCATCAAGGGAGTGATGTCGCCCTTATTCCCTCGATCCTCGACGTTGGCGTGCATTGCCAGCAGCACCTGGGAGAAAGTTCACCCCAGTCAGTAAATTGTAACACCCAACCTTCTGCTTTTAGTTGTCCCAGGGCAACTCGCTGGCCAGAGTGACAGCACAGGAACTGTCACTTGCATTAATGACCAGAGCACCCAGGGGTCAAGCTCAGAGGTGAACAGTTCTCTCCCTGTCTTCTGATCTGGCACCAAAACACAAAGCTTTTTGAGCTCTCACTTTCTGAGAACTATCACCTGAACATAATCAAGGCAGCACAAATTCTGCCCTTACACACAGAAGCAATACAGCCCCAAAATTAACAGAAATTAATGCAGTGTTGATAAAAATGTGATTAAAAAAAAAAAAGGATTGTGTGACCGACACATGAGTTTTTAGAAGGGAATCAGTTGTAGTATTTGGGTTTGCTGCTATTTTAGATCCTCTTGCTTGGCAGAACAGCTGAACTGCATCTAGAACAATGCCAGAAAAGTAGATGCATCATAAAACATAAGATTCATTCCTCAGATAAGTCCCTTCAACCTAAAGGCACATATGACTGCATTTTCCATTAAAAAACCCAAGCAATAACTGGAAACCCATAACAAGCTGCACTGACCTATATTCTAAACAATAAAAAATTACAATAACCAGAAGGACTAAAACGTTTGCCTATCAAAGAGGCCCCCTCAGACAAAGGTTTAGTCTTGTATTTGTTACTTACTTGTGCCAATTCATAATATCCTGCTGAACAGGCCAAGCAAAGGAGACTCTCCCCTTCCTCAGTGTGTTCATTTACGCTTCGCCCTTCATCCAGCAGCTTCCGGACAGCGTTGACATCCCCGTCGGAACACGCCTCTGCCAGACTGCGGCTGCAAGAGCAGTCACCACACAGTCAGCTCAAAACACACCTGCAAGAGCTGGGCAGCTTCCTTGGGCAAGGAGGAAGCCTTTAAGGAAAGACTTATGACATGAGTACTAAGCATGACTCAAAAGTACACCTTACAGATATATATTTTTTAAATAGTGTGTATATATATATTTATATACACACACACACACACACTATTTCCACGGGTGAAATGGAGATAAAGACTTTCCTTATGTCTAAATCAGCTCTTGTCCTCAGCAGTTGCTAACTCACATATGCTCTCATACAGACCAGATGAAGAGAGGAGAAGTCATTCGTGGGGTCTGCAAGAGACAGGAGCAAACCCCTCTGATGCTATTCCCACTTCAGGGCACGCCAGACACACGTGACAAAGTGCTGACTGCAGGAGCCAAGGCAAATGCCTACTACAGACAAAGCCAAAAATCAAGCAGCCAAGTATCAGAGACCACTAATATGGATATTGCACCCAGACAAATGTCTGACCCTCATCCCTCCTGTTGTGGGACAATTTCCTTCTCTGCACTAGCCCAAAGCTTCTTTTTTTTTTACTTGAAAACACCAGTTTTCATGAGAAAGAGCCTTACATTAGCTAATGACACCTTAGAGGAAGAAAGGATGGAGCCTTACAGAAGTTTACTGTGTTTCTTTTCATGCACTATTAAAAGCACATTAAGGAAGTTTTCAGAGGATGAAATAAGGCAGTAACAGCACAAACTCTACTGGAACACTACTAACTCCTCCTCAAAAAGAATAAATCTGTAAGAGGTAATTACAAGCTAAGAGTTAGAAGGAAAAGACAGAACAAACCCCAAGTTCTTGGAATCAAACAGCTCAGAAGTCTGTAATCACGATTTTAACCATCACTGACCTCTGGAGAGAATTGCTGTTTCCCCTGAGACATAGCAAAGGACACTAAACCAACCTTGGAAAAGGTGAACTGAGCTTCAGTTTATTTCAAATCAAGTCACCTCTCCTTTACATCTTCTTCTGTACCAAAAAAAAAAAAAGGTCTAACAGCAAAGACAACTATTCTTTCAGTCCTCAGAGAGGCATCATATCAGGTCTCATGAACTTCTTCACTGGACTATGTCCAACCTGTTTAAATGCTCCCTGACCTGACACTAATCCAAGACAAGCTGTCCTTAGTCCAGACCTTCCCAATCATCTCAGGAGCTTGGGATTCCAGAAATTACATCTCACCAGTGAAGCTCAAGGCCAAGGCAGTATTCCCTGTCACTGGGTCCCCCATCATACTCTGATGCATACTTTTGATCCTAGGTCTGAAGTTCAACAGAAGTTCAACAGGACATGCAGTCACACCATCCCAACAGTTTCAGAACTATTTGCATCACCCCAGAAAACACCTCAGGACCCCTGGGGATGTTGTGAAATTACCACAGTGGAGGAAAACCTTTGTGACAAAGAACAAACCTGCAGTTCTGTCATAGTGGGAGTTAAAGGCTCTTCTCATTACCTGTTACCAAAAGTTATCACATAGTACAGTTTCACTTTCCCCTAAGTTCCTGAGCAAGATCCTGGGGAAAAAAATCACTGCCCTGCAAGTGTCCTCTTTCCTGCACTGTTCTCTTTCCACTTCTAACACAATGAATTGGGTTCACTAGTTTCCAACCAAGTGTGCTGAGGCAGTAATTAGAAAGCAATCACCCTCTCTTCTACAGCTAAGAATTTAACCCTTTTTTGACAAAGAAATCAACTGTCTGACCCAGAGATTAGCTCAGTTGGTCAGAGCATGGTGCTAATAACACCGAGGTTGTGGGTTAGATTCCTGTATGGGCCATTCACTTAAGAGCTGGACTCGATGATCCCTGTGGGTCCCTTCCAACTCAGAATATTCTGTGAAATTTCTGTCTGGCACACAGAAAGAGCAGCATGTTAGAAAGTACCACTTTTTTGCACTTTTCTCTCAATAACCTGATGGGACAGCAGTTACACCTTCAGATCCAACACCTTTGCTTCCGCCAGTCGCGGAGCAGACACGTTACCGAGCACTAACGATAAAATAAACTGAACTGGAAATAAAAACCACAAACTATAGCTGGGAAATTGGGGGTGTGGGAGGGGGGGATCAGTACATACTTGTCCACTTGTCCTGTGTTGTGGTTGTTCTCGGCCCTCATCCGCGTCAGCGCAGCCGCCGCCTCGTCCAGCGCGCAGCTGACCGAGGACGTCAGTCTCCGGAGAACCTCGGGATCTGCGAAGGCTTTGCCATCGGCAGTGGACAATTTACCAATTCCTTCAGTGCCCCATCGATGGTCATCAGTCAGGTTAGTAGGAAAGTCACACAAAAGAAACGCAGAGACGCTCGTTTAGAGTTCAGCCACATGCACGATTAGTTACAAAGTGTTCGCAAACATGCCAGAAAAATCAGCTACTTAAAACCAACTGCTGACTTTTAAACAACACCTGAACATTTAATTAACTGTAATACAAGAGAAAAAAACCCACTATTTTTCAACTGGCAGCTTTGTTACTTGTCCCCAACTTACACCTTTGAAGAATTTAAGGAAAAAAAAAAATCCTATCAGGGGAGTAAGGATAAATTCAGGTGTGAAACCCAAAACCAGAAGTCTGGGAAACAGGTATTACTCCCCAGGCTTGGTTTAATATTTTCTGACTGTGAAGAGTTTTTCAATTTATTTAGTTAGTTTTTTTAAATTTATTATGCCTTTCCCACCCAACTCCACCCAAGATGAAGCAGACTAAGCTCTAATATACCTTTCTAGTTCCTTTTTCTGAAGAGAAGGAAAAAGCTTTTAAAAGTTATTAGCCTAAATTCCTAATAATTTACCACTCTAGCTACAGGAACAAAAATTACTAAATGAAATTTCAAATATTTTAAGTATAATTGAAATCAATGCCCCTCCTACACAGATATCACACAGCAGAAATGCTTAGATTCAAGGAACGTTTACAACCATTTCTTTGCTCAAGTTTTACCCCACGCAGGTTTTACCCCATATAGTTCAGCACAGCCTATTTAACATGTGGAAACATCACTTCAGGGTAAGTAGGGCTTATATCTTCATGTACAAATGTTCAAATAGTGCAAACACGCCCCTCCACACCCCCCAAAACTCCAAATCAATTGATTTCATGCGCTACAAAAAAACCAAATGGTTACTAGTTTATAGATTAGCCACCTTCCCCAGTGATGAGTGAAACTTCAATTCCTTAGCTGTTAAAGAGGGTCTAATTAGATACAAATCTCAGAAATAAGGCATCTTGTCCCTCAGAAGATTTGCTATTTGGTATGTGCATCTCTCTGCAGGTTTGATTTATGCCACATCTCCCACAACCCATCTTGTCATTCTTACACAATAAGTGCCAAAATCACATTTTGAATTTGTACATTGTTTTCAGACCACGTATTGCCCCAGTTTGAGAGCGTCCAATTTGTTCCTCATTAACATAAGAATTGATACTTACCAAATTTCTCCACCCTAAAACACTTTAGGCCAGCACACAGCAGGCACTCTGTGCTCCAAGTGCTGGCTTACAGTACTGGAACATGGTGTTGCTGGAAATGATGGAGAGTCCCTATCCTGCCATTGAGACAGATGCTTCCCAAGGGATTCAGGAGTTTACTTGGCTGATGGAAACTAAGGTTGAGATGAGCTGCTTAAGAGACTTGCTCATATCACAGAATCATAGAATCAACCGGGTTGGAAAAGATGTGAGATCATCCAGTCCAACCCTTGATCCAACCCCACCGTGCTTCCCAGTCCATGGCACTGATGCCACATCCAGCCTCACCTTAAACACCTCCAGGGACAGTGAATCCACCCCCTCCCTGGGCAGCCCATTCCAATGGCTGAGCACTCTCTCCATAAAAAATTTCTTCCTAATATCCAACCTAAACCTCCCCTGGCACAGCTTAAGACCCAGTCCTCTTGTCCTACTGCTGCTTCCTGGGAGAAGAGACCAACCCCCACCTGGCTACAACCTCCCGTCAGGGAGTTGTAGAGAGTGATGAGGTCCCCCCTGAGCCTCCTCTTCTCCAGGCTGAGCCCTCCCAGCTCCCTCAGCCTCTCCTCTTGGGACTTGTGCTCAAGTCCCTTCACCAGCCTCGTTGCTCTTCTCTGGAGCTGCTCCAGCACCTCAATATCCTTGCTACCTCCCTGGTTTCAACATCCTACCTCTGGATTGCTTCAGCATTATCAAGGGGTTATGAAAAACAATTTATAACAAATGACCCACTCCACGATAAAGTGAGAAATTACAGTTTGATCTGTCCACTCCATCTGTCTGGGGTTGGAAGCCTGGCTAGTGCAGAGCAATCCAAGCACAGAGAAGTGAGGCCATGGACTCTGAAGAGTCCCTTCCACCTCCAAACTCTAGATGCCATTACCCTTCCAGCCACCGCTGTTAAATATAGCGAGGTTATAAACAACAAGCCTCAAATGCCACAGCTCACGCCTCACAAATTAGTGCAAAGTAAATTTGCTGGTGGTGTGAAGGGGATGGAAGTGCTGCTGGCTCTGCAGTTGGGGCAGGTGGGGCCGGGGGACAGTCACTGCAAGACTCTCTCAGGACACTGATTTGGTATCAAACACAGAGAAAGTGAATAGTTTTGACACAGTTCTGCTTCCCCAGGACAGCTCCCGGAGTGACTGCTGGGATGTTTACACAAGCTATTTCTGGTGGCAGTGCTGGCTTACACCGGCTCGCAGTGAACACAAAGTAATGCTGAAGGAAAGACAAAGAATTAAGTCTTCACAACCCAGCACTGAGGGCTCATCTGGGACTGCGGCGACCAAAGCTGAACACCCTGGTGAGCAACATGGAAGAGTACTCGAGAGAAACCCACAGGACCCCTGAGCAAAGGCTGGAAGGGGGTGATTCAGCTTACAAGGAGCAACATCACTACACTTTCCCTCCACTTAGAAGAGACTCACTGAAGGAGCTGTTAACAGCCCTACTGCTGGCAAAAGAAGTGGAAGATGCAAAGTCCACTGAAAAGAAACCAACCCAGAAAAACCACCAAGACACCACCACCAAAACTTGTCACAAAGCAAAAGCTGAAGTGGTTATCTGAAACTGCACTGGGTATCTCCATTATGGCAGATCACCAAGGCAGTAGGTCAGACAGGTTACCCAGACAAGCAGAACCTACACTTGATACCCTCTCCATTTTAAAAGTTTGTTGTTAAAGCACTTATACCCGGGATTTCTGAAGGCAGAAGTCACACCACAGACCTCAGTCCTGTGTCCAGTAAAGACAAATGAACTTCACCCACTGCAGAGCTCCTGTTTTCATGGATTACTGCTGGTGGTCTCCTGCAGGACTCACCATTCTCAGATCACTGGTTCTTCCTTCTGGCAAGTCAAAGTGCACTTCCAGCTCACTCCAGATCCAAAAAAGGAGCTACAACCACTCCAAGACCTTTTGGAGGGTAAGTGGAAGATACTTTTTATTTACCCCACCAACTAGAACTCAACCCAGGTGCTACCCCCAGCTCTTTGTTTCATACTTTCTTTGCATTACACGTGCCCAAACTAATCAACAGCCACAGAAGAAATCAGAGCAGACATTTGTTTGGCTGAATGGAGTCAAAGGGAGACAGGCTACAGGAATTACCACTGCAGACACCCATTCATTCAGTCACTCATTCATTCACTCCCCTTCCACAGTTTATATCTCATTAATTGATCCATTTTTGCTTTGCTATGATTTAGGATGACTATGCCAGAATTCCCATGCTGTAATGCTCAGGTATCTTTTAATCTCTAATGTAATTATTTTCATGTCCACTTCATAACCATTTGCTCTTGTGTCACCCTCTTACACACAGGGACTGCAACAGTCTGATTTATGTGCAGGTACTGGACCAAAACTGTTCTTGCCTCCTCCCACCCAACAAATAAGAAAGCATCCTCAGGACCATTCTGCCCACTCCTGCACACAAGTGATCACGATTTCTCCCATTATTCCAGTCTCACTAGTGTGTTACTGATCTGATATTACCTGAACTGAACCCAGTGTCTGGCATTCTGTGCTTCCTGGGGGGTAATGGAATACTTTCAGGAACACAAGCCACCACAGAGGTTGCAATACCATCTTTTCGTGGACTGATCACTGTTGCAGGATAAGTCTGGAAAGAATATATGGGAGCTACAGTTTTTTACTGAGAACAGTCCACAGTCATTAACCCTATGGAGATGGTGACATTCCTAATGCACAGTTACAGCTTACCACTAAAATTATGGAGAGCACATTCATAAGCAAGCCAAAAGGAAGTGCCTTTATACAAGATGAGCTGCCATGCAAAGGCCAAGAAGGTAAATTTGAAAATAGCTTAGACAGAATTACTGTAAAGCCTGAGCCTTCTGCCAAGCTAAGAACAGTGTCCCTGAACATCACTATTTAAAGACATTCCTGACGAACAGACAACTGGAAGGACAGAGAGAGGAGAGACTGTCACCCATACTGTGATTTTGCTGCTTTTCCCTCAAATGTGCCCAGCCCATGCAGGGCCCACAGAGGCAGACACACCTTCACATCCTCTGTTGTGGGGCAGTTCTTCAGCTGAACAGCTGCTGCTGAAGCCACGTGCCAGTGTGTTGCCAAACCCTGGCAGGAACAAGGCCAGCAGCACCATCCAACAATGGAAGAGAGAGCTCTCAAATGGCCCTGGCACAGGGTGCCCAGAGAAGCTGTGGCTGCTCCATCCCTGGAAGTGTTCAAGGCCAGGTTGGGCAGGGCTTGGAGCAACCTGGGCTAGTGGAAGGTGTCCCGTGGCAGGGGTGTGGAACAAGATGACTTTTGAAGGTCACTTCCAACCAAAAATTATCCTATGACTCTAACAGCTTCCCCCGACTGGTAATATATAGACCTGGCTCCTCCCATCCAACACATCAACACACAGGCTGTAGATCTCTAAACTGGACAGAAAAGTAAGAATTCCAAGATCTTGCCCTTCTATTGGGCCACAAAACACTAATTCTACAGTACACAGATTTAGGCTGCATCTGAATAGGGCACTTCACCAGTTTAAATAAGTCAACAATTCTGCAGCTGAACAGAGATGAAATGTGCAGTACAACCAACTCCTGTGTAACCAGGCTGAGGCTGGAGCAGGTGACTTTTGTTCCTAAAGCTACTATGGCACACGAAGGAACTCAGTGGCAGTCGGTGCCAGATGTTCCACACCTTAATGCCATATTACTGAACTATTTAAATTAGCCTGAACTTGATTACAGAGGTGTATTAGAACAAGAAGCTCCCCTTTCAAGGGAAAAGCTTGCTCATCCAATACACACCTCTAACCAAAACTCCAATTTCCTTGTTGACTTTCAGACTCACCAGGATATTCCCACCTTGCCACTGCCAAGGTGAGAGTTTTAAGGTGACCTGAAATGAGCTGGTAATTTCTCAGTGTGCTCTGAGTTTCACATGTCAGACACAGAGACACCACCTCAGAAAAACTGCAACAAAAGCAGGTTTTTATCTTCAGAAAACACACAGTGAAGTCCCTCATAGCACATATACTTTGGACATCAAAGGAGACTGCTCCAAAGAGACCAACATATCCAACTGTAAATGGTAATGTCCAATGATTCCCACAAAACCCTGCAGATTCAGGGGTGATTATGTTCCATTCAGAGGAACTGAGAGGTTCTAGACTGTCAAAAACAACTGCTACAGTTTTATGCCAACAAGCAGTGACTCTGCCAGAACAATATTAATTCCAGCACATCACAGGTGCCACCACAAGCCAAGAAGGCAACAAGCAGGACTGAGCATACCCTGTCCTGTAAGGTCTCAGGGGGCTAATTCCCCATACAACTAACAAAAATCTGATGATGTCAAAATAAATTCCCCAAACCCCAGCTTCATAGTACATCAGCTTCAGAGCCAGTGAACTAAATTATAGCATTGTCAGTACACCCAGCAAGACCCACATTGTTTCTGCATTAATATATCTAATTTACAGCATCAGAATGAGGGACATAAATGTATTTACAATTTTTGAATGCATTTTAAATATTTACATGTGGTTTACTGTATTCTGATTGCTCAGAATAAAGTCCTCAAGGCAGAGGCCACACATTGACTAGCACTCTTCAGATAAAGGAATTAGAAAATACTAATAATTTA